ACTATGAATTTCAGGACCTATATTCGGGGAAGATGATTGGCAATGCTAGGATGGTTGATGGACTCTATTATTTTAATAATGAAATCTTCAAGAGTGGACAAGTTCAAGCTACAAGTAGTAGTGATATTTCTATTTCTATTAAAAGTCAAATAATGTTATGGTACTATAGGTTAGGCCATCCCAATTTCTCTTACTTAAAATATTTGTTTCATCCCTGTTCAAAAATTTAAATCCTTTATTATTTTAATGTGAATCTTGTTAATTATCAAAGCATCATCGTGTTTTTTATCCTTCTCATTTATATCAAGCATTTAAACCATTTTATTTGATTCATAGTGATGTGTGAGGGCCTTATTGGGCTACTAATATGACTAGAACTAGGTGGTTAATCACTTTTATTGATGACCATACTAGAGTGATCTTTTAAGAAAAAAATATGAGGCTGTGAGAGTGTTTAAAGAGTTCTATGCCATAATTGAAATCCAGTTTTAAACCCGAATTCAAGTATGTAGAACCGACAATGGAAAAGAATTCTCTAACTCTATTCTTGGTGATTTTTTGAAAGAAAATGATATTTTCCATCCGTCCACTTGCTTTAATACCTCATAGCAAAACGGGATAGTTGAGAAAAAAAAACCGCCATTTACTCGAGGTTGCTAGGGCAATAATGTTCACTATGGGGGTTTCTAAATATCTATGGGGTGAGCTGTTCTTACAGCTTCATACTTGATCAACAGAATGCCAACTAGGGTGTTGAAATTTGAGACGCCCTTAAACAACTTTCTGTCAGTTTTTCCCCATATTAGGATCTTCACCTCATTACCTTTTAAAGTGTCTGGATGTACTACTTTTGTACATGTTCATACACGGGACAGTTCAAAACTCGATACTAGGGCTGAAAAGTGTGTGTTTGTTAGGTACTCTCTTAAATTGAAAGGGTATAAATGTTTTAACCTCACCTCTAAAAAATTCTTTGTGAGTATGGATGTGACCTTTTTTGAGACTTAACCCTATTTCACAAAAAATACTCTTTAAGGGGAGAGTATTGAGAGGGAAGACCATTTTTGAGAAGTGTTGGGCTCTTTACCATTGCCGAGTGTTTCACCAAACTCTACCTTACCTACTGAACCTCTCCAAAGTCTATTGAGTCAAACATTATAGACTACACTTTAGGGGGAGAACTTCTTCAAATCCAACCTCAATCTGAGCTCTGTGTTTACTCTCAAAGAAAGAAGGATCAAAATAAAGAGCACCAGCCTACTACTTACCAAGAAAATTCTCTGGATAAAGGTAACTTAAATGAAACAGGTATTTCTGTCTTTAATCCATCTTTAATTCCTGAAACCAGCAATGAAGAAACCCTTTCTCATGACCTTGATATTCCTATTGCACTTAGAAATGGTACTCGCTCTTGTACCATGCATTATATTGCTAAATATGTGTCCTACCATTGATTGTCTCCAAATTATTAAGCTTTTATCACTAATCTCTTTAGTGTTTCAATTCCTAGAACTATACAGGAGGTCTTGAATCATACTGAGTGAAAGACAACAATTATGGAAGAGATGAGGGCTATTGATAAGAACAAAACTTAGGAGATTGTTGAGTTGCCAAAGGAAAAGAAGACCGTAGGCTGCAAATGGGTATTCACGGTCAAATATAAGGCTAATGGTAATATTGAGAGATATAAGGGAGACTCGTAGCTAAAGGCTTCCCCCAAACATATAGAATAGATTACCAGGAAACCTTTGCCCCTCGGTGGCAAAGGTAAATTCCATACGGGTGCTGTTGTCTCTTGTTGCAAGCTTGAGTTGGCATTACAACAGTTAGATGTAAAGAATGCGTTCTTAAATGGTGAGCTAGAGAAAGAAGTGTTTATGAATCTACCACCAGGATTTGAAAATGATTATGGAGCTGGAAAGGTGTGTAAATTGAAGAAATCGCTATATGGTTTGAAACAATCACCCAGAGCATGGTTTGATCGATTCACTAAAGCTATTAAGGGTCATAGATATTGTCAAAGTTAGGCTGATCACACTCTATTCTACAAATATTCAAATGATAGTAAGATAGCCATACTTATTGTTTATGTGGATGACATAATTTTGACAGGAGATAATAAAAGAGAATTGGAGGATTTGAAGTCTTTTCTTGCAATGGAATTTGAGATAAAAGATCTTAGAGCTTTGAAATACTTCCTAGGAATGAAATTTGCCAGATCCAAGAAGGGGATATTTGTCTCTCAAAGGAAGTATGTGTTGGATTTACTTATGGAGATAGGTTTACTTGGCTGCAAACTGGTGGAAACAATTTAAAGTTGCAGGCAGCAAGTGCAGAAAAAGTGGTGAACCGAGAGCAATTCCAAAGGCTGGTTGGAAGACTCATTTATCTTTCACACACTCGGCCAGATATTGCCTTTGCAGTGAGCACAGTGAATCAATTTTTGCACTCACCGGGAGAAGAACACTTTGAGGCAGTTTACCAGATTCTCAAATACCTAAAGGGATCACATGGAAGAGGTTTGTTGTTTGAAAACCATGGCCATCTAAGGATTGAAGCCTATACCGATGTTGATTGAGCAGGTAGTGTGATGGATAGAAGGTCTACTTCAAGTTACTGTACTTATGTTGGTGGCAACTTAGTTACTTGGAGGAGCAAGAAGCAAATTGTTGTAGCAAGGAGTAGTGCAGAAGCTGAGTTCATAATAGTTGCTCATGGAATTTGTGAATTTTTGTGGCTGAAAAGATTACTTGAAGATCTTAAAATCTCAAGTCTGATGCCTATGAAGCTATAGTGTGATAATAAAGTTGCAATCAACATAGTTCACAATCCTGTCCAACATGAAGGACTAAGCATGTGGAAGTTGATCGACATTTTATTAAGGAGAAATTGGAAGGAGTGATATGTATGCCCTATATTCCTAACGGAGAATAGGTAGCAAATATCCTCACTAAAGGATTATCGAAGGGGAAATTTGACAATCTTACATGCAAGCTTGGAATGCAAGATATGTTTCGAGCCAACTTGAGGAGTGTGGAAAGATCAAGGCTAAATTGTTAGGAAATTAGTTAGTAAAGATTTTTAGGAATTATCTATAGTTAAATAGTTGATTTTTTTAAATTATATTATAGGAATTATGATCTGTATATATCTTTTCTTTAGAATTTGTAAGACACTTCTATACATATAGGCCTGTAAACTGACACGTGATATGAAAAGAGAATATCAGAATTTATTCTTTTTCCCTTTGTGTTCAATATCATACTTAAAGAAAAGGAGGGATTTATATGACCTGAGTGACCTTCTCATTAAATTCTTTTTTAACATATTTTAATTGTTTCTCCATTGTGTTCCGGATCGGTGCATTGCAGCAAGTTTTCCACCCACTAAGTCTATCCACCTGCAAATTATGAAATCAAAGAAACAAAATCAAACCTAAAAAGGGAACAAAATCAAAAGCAATGGAGGTTCAGAAGGTATTATTACATTGTAATCTCACCTTGTTCAACGCAACAATGAATTCTGTGTTCCTCATTTTCAGAAGATGTAGTGATTCAATGGTCTGCGGTTTTAACTCATGCTGCATTATGTCAACCACCAAAATCGCAATATCACATAAATCTGAACCCCAAGACCGTAAATTAGTGAACTCTGTGTGTCCAGGTGTATCAATAACCAATAGACCTGGAACATTCAGCTTTACATCATCTTTTAATTCCTTAGTTCACTCACGCATGTTCTCTGCAGGAATATATGTCGCACCAATTTGCTGAGTAATCCTTCCAGCCTCACCTTCCTGGACATTAGTGCCTCACATACAATCAAGCAGCTTGGTTTTGCCAGCATCGACATGACCCATAACACAGCAAATTGGGGAACGAAGATTAATTTCACTCTGGTTAGAGAGAGCATCACCATTCTGAGCCTCATTTTTCCCTGTAATCAACTTCTTTGCGCTTATTTTATTTTTTTTTATTTTTTATTTTTTATTTATTTATTTATTTTTTTTTTTCCTGTAACCGCATTCTCAAGATATATATATATATATCCCCCACAATTCTAGAAACTCTCCCCGTCAAATATACACACTTCTTTCCCTTTTTGTTACAAATTGACAAATAAAGTCCAAAAAAGAAGGGAAAAAAAATAATGTGGGAGAATTAACAAGAAGAGAGATCAAAACTATCATTCATGAATAATATAAATAAGACCAATCATGGTCAAAATCACACACATGATATCTCCAACCAATTAAAAACAAAATTTCCTAAAAGGAAAATCTTTTTGGATTGTTTTTCAAATTTTTATTTTTTATTTTTCTGATATTGGATCAAAAATGATGAGATAGCAATTTCTATTAATTTGAAGCATACATGAGATCCAAAAATTTCAAAAGAATATAAGAGAATTTGAAAATACAAAATTTTTAGACACCACAAATTATTCAATCTAATCAATTCTCAAGCCACTACAACATTTCTGGCTTTTACTAACGCTCAAAAGCACTGGTAAAAGTCTAAAAAAGCGCTGGTAATTCAATTACCAGCGCTTTTGAAAAGGCGTTGGTAATTCCAGTGTCTGTAGGCCTTTACCAGTGCTTTTTCGGAAGCGCTGGTAAAATCCTTTTACCAGTGCTTTTTCAGAAAGCGCTGGCATAGAGTATTTACCAGCGCTTTCTGGAAAAGCGTTGGTAAAAAGACTTTACCAGCGCTTTCTACAGAAGTGCTGGTAGAGTGTATTTACCAGCGATTTTTGCTAAAGCGCTGGTAAAAGGTAATTTTAATTTTTTTTTCCTCCCCCCCCCTATGCCAGCGCTTCTTAAAAGAGCGCTGGTAAAGGGTTTCTTTTTTTTTATTTTTATTTTTATTTTTATATATATATATATATATATATATTTAATAGTTTTTGGAAAATAATTTATATATATATATATATATATTTTTATTTTTAATTTTTGGGAAAAAATATCAGTACAACTATTGCAACTACCAACTACTAAATGTCATCCAACATAACACAAGTTAATATAAAAATACCATCCAAATTGTTTTTACATAATACAACCACAAAGTTAACCATGCCAATATGAAAATTACCATCAAAATTGGCTACTAATACAACCACAAGTTAAGCTGATAAATGTCAACCAAAAAGCAAAAATGTATACTAATACAACCACAAGTTAACCTGCCAATATACCATCCAAATTGTCTAAATAAAGCTACTAAATGTCAGACAAAAAGAATTAAGAATTTTTAACAAATGTAGTACAAGTTTTTCAAAAAGAACCCATCCAAGGTGAAGGAAATTCAGAAAGCACAGCCATGACCCCATCTTCAACTTCAACAAGTCTTGTTGCCCATTAGATTTGAATTACCCTACATTTTTTTATAAATTCATTACGCACACATTATAATAAATGAAAATTTAACATATATATAAGAGAAATTAAAAGTTCATAACCTTAACTGAATTGACATCACGACTATAAAATGAATTTGGGGATACTCTAGGAGGAGCATTTAAAGAATCAAAACCCTTCAAAATAAGAAAACAAAATACATGAAATCTTGGCATAAGTAAACATATATTTAATAAAGAGTAAAACTAATAATAAATATACCTGTCCACTGTTGTTGCATCTGCATTAGCATAACCACCTGTTGTTGTAAATTTTCTAACATGTTATCATAGTTGGCTCGTAAATTTTCCAACTTGTTGTCATACTCGGCTTGCATTTTTGAAATGCTCTCCTGCAACTCTACGCGTGCAGCACGTGCCTCTCATCAGATTTTTTCGCATTATTAATTAGTTCAACTTTACTAGGAGAGGGCCCCCAAACATCGCTTGGTGTAGGCCCGAAGCCAAGTATCCGCACACAACCAGTTCTCTCTTCTCCCCTCACAATGGAGAACAAATCATTGGAACTACCAATAGGCGAGTCAGAGTAACTTTTTTGAAGTTCTTTTATGTTTTCCTGCCAAAAAAAAAAAAAAAAAAGTTTGAACTACCATGAGTATTACTATGAAACATCCGGACAGATCTAATGAAATGAATAATAGAACAAGAATCCAGAAACAGCTGAACAGAAAAGTAATTAGATAATAAATTGGTAATGATGAAAGCCAAAGTGTTCTGAAACAGCAGTGCATTACACAATGTGAAAATATAGTTGTACATACCTTTGAACTTTCATACAATCTAAAGCTTCAAAATATTCACACCCACTTCATTTACAGACAAAATGCTAGAAATTAAAGGAATGCTAAAAATTGTGCGCAATATGGAATCAAAGCCTAACGTCTCCCTCAAAAGTACCTATAGAATACCGACCACGGTTAGCAACAGAAAGAACTGCACAGTAATAATGAAAACAATAGAAAGCCCAAAACCTGATTGGATGCATTGTTACATAGGAGATTGTTCAACAATTCGAGACAGTCCTGTGCAATGACAAATATATCAGCAACATTATCAGTCATATATTTAAACTCCTCACAGTGCACTTCAAATGCTTGAAAATATGAATGAGAATTCAACACAATCAGAATTAGATGATGGTAGAAGATTTTTAAGGTGCAGATGGTGCACGCAAGATGGTTCGTAAGAACAGCAAACCATCAAGCATAAACCAAGTTAAAATGTAGACAAGGGCATTAAAGGAATCACTAGAAGTAGAAACTAAGGTGGAATCTTTGGAAGTCGGAATTTTTATGTAATTCGTAGTACTTAGTACATTCACTTTGAGCAGTTTGAAGTGGACTACTCAAACCTTAGTAAATATTGAAGTGGCATAAAAGGAAAGATAACCAATACCACTAATTCTTCTCATAAGATCACTTGCATAGCAACAGAAATATTAGCCAAAAACCTAGAAAGGAAAATAGCAGAACCGTCAAACAAACAATTATATAAATGAACAAATTGTAGTTCAGTAAATCACCTGCACAACGACGCCACCTTCTGAACCCCCTTCCTCATTTACAATACCTAAAATCTTGTCAAAAGTACCTTCAAAGACCACGATTTTTTGAATTTCCTAACATTATGAATATCGGTTAGTGAAGCAGAACCAAAAAAGGGTACCAAGAGTTTGAGATTGGATCAGAAATAGAAAACAAAAATGACAAAAAAAAATAACGAAGAGCTCACCTCAGCTTCACGTGTCAAGTAAGTTAGGAGTAACAAGGCTTCGTTTCGTATAACCTAGAAGGTAGCCACATATTTTTCAGCATCCAACAACAAGAAGAACAAGACAAAAGGACGTAAACTTCACATTTTTTGTTTGACAGAAAGTTCCATTAGGCAAAATCCAGTTCAGGAATTTTTTTAGATTAATTAAAGTAAATGCCTAATATTTAGGATATTGAAAAAGAAATAAACAACGCTACTGAATATATACGTCCACTAACTTGTGATAAATTTTCTATTATTGGTATAAAAATATAAATTATTTGGGAATGGCTAATGTTTAGGACATTGAACAAGAAATTATCAAGGTTATGCCCAGAACACTCGTAAACTTTTGTCGAACTATGGTGTAAAAATATAAAATATTTGAAAATAAAATTAAATAAACAGCAAAAAATTCATACCTCACGATCCATAAGCATATCCATAAGCCGAGTGATACCACGAGGAATGGTCAGGATGGCTTCCTGTAACCTGAACAGGAACTCAACAAATTCTATTCTACCATGATCCAGAGATCCAAAATTTTAAAAAGAAAGAAAGGGGCCGTGGAAAGAGTACCTATTTGGAGAATTTGTAAGAAGGGCCGTCAAAAGTTGAAGTGTATAATACCGTACATTGAAATCCTCCTCCGACTGCCAAAAACATACTTAACAAAATGAGCAGGTATAGGCAAAATAAAATAAAATTCAATAGATACATTATTCAGGTTCAAAGATCATGATATCTAATTCTCACCAACAGACTTAGAAGAAGAGAAATGCTTTCTGCTTCCCTAGAAAGCAAATCAGTGTTCATTAAAGCTGGTTGAACCTCATTCTTTGGCCCTTTTAGATGATTAATTGGAGTCAAAGCACTAACAAGAGTTTCAAGAGCACCTCGGACCTGCAAGCCTCCGAAGCAACATCAGTCATTTTATGATATATAAAATGGGATGGGTAACACATTATAAAGATTGTACACTACAGTGTAAAAGCAGAAAGGACCACACTATTTTCCATTAGCAGAATTAAGAGGTGGTCTGATGCAGCAGGATGGGTAACCACAACAATTAACACAGCTCAGTTCCTTGAAGCTCTAAGTGAGTATTAAAGAAAATAGGATTTGTAAATGGACAACGGGATTAAAGAGTATCCAAAAACACTGTACTCTGCAAGAAAATTTTAATGTGGTATAAACTAAGAGTGTTTCTGAAAATGCTACATTTCAGATGTTGATTATGTATTTATATGATATTAAATGTTAATAGTGGCATATATGGACAACATCATAATTTCTTTGATAACGAACAAATAAGTGTACATCAATGAAAAAAATTCCAGCTTGATATAATATAAAACGTGTAAAAATGACAAAAGGCTTCATAAAAGAAAACCCCCCGAGAAGTAGTAATAGAATTGACCTGACAGAATATTCAATAAACTATTGGAAATATTTTATATATATATATATTTTATTTTTTGTGAAGGACCAAGGGAGAAGTAAATAAACAAGTCAAGAATAATAATAATAATAAGTTAATTAGCACTTCCCACCCCTCTCCAACACAAATACACAAGTTCAAATGACATTTTGTTGATTCAGATGATTATGAAGTTTGATTCTCTACATTAAGGCACGTGAATTATACATCTACGTGATCATAAAGACTAAAATGACTAGTAGTGGGGACAGCCAAAGTGGTAGGTTTGATGATCATCAATTCTTCATCTCCAATGAATGAGAGTTAGATTAAATTGCCAATTTATTGAGCTCAAATCCTTTAATTCTGGAGTAGTTAGGTGGGAAAAAAAGAATGGCATTTGATGGAGATTTAATTCGGTAGTACTGGAGTTAGGTAGCGTCATCTTTCATAAGAATTATTGAAAGGCTCTGCGTGTTGAGTGAAACTTTGTGTTCAAATCGTTTTATAATATTTTCTTAATAAAATATTCAAGTGTTCTCTTGAATATTGGATGTCTTTTTTAATAAACTTTTAACTCTTAAAGAAGAACGTTTCTTTTAGGAAATTCTTACTACATACTTCTTCTGTCCCAAAAAAAGATTACTCTTTTAGAAAACTGTACAGAAAAAGTATACAGTAAGAGAATTTTTAAGCCCCATATTTTTGTATCCTTAATTGTCTTAGAGGATCCAATTTCGATTCCCAACTAATCATATTGAGATTTGTTTGAATTTTAATTGATATTTATATACAGTATTATTTTAACCACCAAACATTAAAAAATAGTAATAAATAATATTATTAATTTTAATTAAAAACAAACTGTATATTATTTATATACAGTTTTCTCAATGTTCGAACACAAAAAAAAAAAAACAAACAAAAAAAAAAAAACAGAAAGAAATTACCTGAAAAACGAAATCAGACTAATCAACGACAAAACTTGTTCCAACAATCCAAGCTACGATCGATTATTTCCTCCTATACAAAGAAAAAAAAAATTGAAAACAACAATCTTAGGTACAGAATGAGATCAAATAGTGGTTGCAGAATCATTGAAATTGGGAGGATGCGTTGTTGCGTGAACTAAATTCCAAATCAAACCCACCTAATCTTGTTTACACTGCGATTTTTCGATCAATTGTGATTAAACTGATTTTGTGCATATAAGTTATTTAGTTACACGACACTTATAAACAACTTTTGTTTCATCAATAGAACTATAATTTTATGAGTACGACCTCTTTTGAGATCTCCTTGCTATGGACAATGACCCCAACCTAAATAATGGTAAGTTTGGTTTTTTCATCATTTTGACATTGAGAAAATTATTACATTGGAACACTATGCAATGATCATAGTTGCGCTCCCAAATTCTCCGGTCGCTAAGCTGTCAACAAATTTCATTCCTCATCAACTCGAAATTAGGGTTTCATGATTCGTACTTGGAGAATTATAAACACGGGAAAAGAAAATCAATGAAAATGGGGGAGAGTAATAATTTTCATTGTTTATCAAATTAGAGTCAAAATAAATGCTTATCGTTGAAAGTTCATATAATACTTGATAAATAAATAGAAGTGCCTTTAAGCAATATTTGTTCTAGATTTTTATGAATTTTATTCATACGCAATGATATAAATATAAGAAGTCTCATTCTATAAATTGACATGGTATAATAAAAATCTCAAATCAAACCCACCTGATCTTGTTTACTGCTTTGGCTGCTTCCGTATTCTCGGCTTGATGACGACACTTCTTCCCCTACGCACTCGAAGCCGAATTGCTTCAAAATCTACTTAGATGATGTCTGGAATAGGAATGGTTGGGTTGGGAATAGGAAGACAGAGAGAGTGATGGTTCAAGCTTTCACTTTAAGAAGTTCGAATCGTTGACCGGTGATGGAAGGGCGAGACCGTGATGAGAGAGCTGTGATGGAAGGCGAGAGAACGACTGAGAGAGCTGGGATGGAAGGCATGATGAGAGAGCTGTGATGGAAGGTGCGACCGGTGATGAGAGAGTTGTGATGGAAGGCGCGACCGGTGATGAGAAGGCGAGAGAACGGATGATGGATTAGGGCTATTGCAAAATGCGATTAGGGCTATATTGTAAATTGAAATGGGAAAGTGGAGAATACTATGTTAATTCCCCACAAAACGACGTAGTTTTAGGGCCCAAATATTCTATATATAAATGGAGGGAAAAAATGGAGGGGAGGTAAAAAAATGGAGGGAAGTAGAAAAATGGGGACACCTATACCAGCACTCCTACAAAAAGTGCTGGTACTATTACACCTATACTAGCACTTTTAAAAAAAGCGCTGGTATATGCGATTACACCTATAGGTACAATTACACCTATAGCGCTGGTAATATTAGACCTATACAAGCGATCCTAGAAAAAGCGTTGGTAAAAACCTAATATGTTGTAGTGAGCATTCAATCACAACATGAAATTTAACTTGCAATTTTTATAAAAATTTAGAAATTTACCAAACAAGTTCACATATGTGTGTGTGCAATCCAATCTCATCAATTTCAATCAAAATACATTGACCAATTGTCTAAATCATATTGATCAAAAAGTATCAAAATAAAATTGTTTTGAGCAAATTTTACTAAGTAAGATGACTTTCACTCTAAAGAGTAAAAAACAATTCTCTATTTCGACTTATCTCCTCTTTTCTTTTTACTCAATTAGCTTCTCTTCAAAGTCTAGTAGGAGCTTTCGAACTAGTCTCAATATTTAGCTTTTTCCTTATCAAAGATTTTCAGCATTCTTTTGATTTTTCTTTTCTTTTCATGCTAATTTTTTTTTTTTTTTTTTCAAACACATGCTCTATTTTTAAAAAAAAAAAAATAATAACCTTTATAACTTTTATGAGCAATATGACCTAGTCGACTTGGCAATGATTTTCAATTAAATTTTCTCAGAGTTGGACCAGTGTACATAAAAAATATGAACTCAAGAGACTCATTTCTAAAAAGAAATAAACAAAGCAAATTGTCTTTTAATTTATAGATTACACATCAAGAATCTTTTCATCAAATAATCATACGTCCCCAATTTACATTAAAAAATGATTAATTCAAGAGAAATAATTATCACTCATGTATTGACGAGAAAAAAATAATCATTACTTTCTCATGAAAGAAAAACAACCTAAATCCTAAACTACAAGATATGGTCCAATGGAAAAGAAAGACATCAAAACATAGTATATGACCATAAAACCTTTTTATGATTTACTCTCGGGGTTTTGCACCCAATGACCTATTGAAAACAAATTCCATAGCATCTATAGGCACATACAAAAAAAATATTGTTTCCAGATATCCCAATTGGTCAAATTCGAAGCAAGTGTCCCCCAAATCCTCTTTCTTCACCCAAACAACTTTCACCTTCAACTTTTGAAGAAATTTTTTAGAAACATCAAGAACATTCTTTTTCTTATGTGAATTCCTTTTAGCATGAAATTTTTTAGATTTATTCTAATTATTTTGTTTTCAAACATGAAATCTATTTTGTGCAAAGGAATTAAAACCATGAAAATCAGAACAAGAATTATCCCTTCACTTCTTGTAACAAAGGTGTTGACTATGTCCATTCTACCACAATAAGAACAATAAAGTACCTTGGACACATTCTTAGCATGCATAGGCTGAACAAAAAGTTTAGGCTTAACATTAGGCACATTCAAGTTCATGAGTTTAACAAAAACAGTTTGACCCTTTTTACTAGATGAAGCTTCATTAAAATCTAATCCAGTTTTATCACTTACATGCTTACCAACACTAATTATCTTATCAAGCTTAATCTATCTAGAAGTAAAAGCAATTAATTTCTCTTTAGATTTTTCCAATTCAGGTTCAAAAAAATTAATTTTAGTAACAAGAGATTATCTAACAAAATTAGTTTGACTTACCTCACTCTCAAGGAATTATACTTTACCTTGAAATTTCTAAATTTCAACTTTATTCTCCTTAAGCAATTTCTATTTTTACTCATTCTCCTTCTTCAAGGTATTATTCTCTTTTTTCATCAACTGTATTTCCTCAGACTGCTTCTGACTAGCCTTTAACATTGTCTCAAAATTTTTTAATGTATTGCTTTCAAAAATAATGAATTTTTGAAAACAAAAATAATTTTATTTTTCAAAAAAACTTCCATAAGGATTAACTCAATGTATAGAGGATGGCTCTGATACCACTTGTTGAGAGTTTGTGCGCAGTGGAATGGTTGTGGAATATAATATGGATAGATAACCTAAATAGTGGTGAATAGATTTAACTTACTCTTTTATCCAATTTTTACTTATTTTAATTTTACTAAAATAAAACTAAAATCAAACCACAAAGCAAAAATAAAGTGCAAGTAAAGTAAATAGAGTTTGAAAGATGACACCAGGATTTTTAGCGAGGAAACCCCAATTGGTAGAATAGACCAATTGTAACAGGAAAAACCTCGTTGGACTTTGCAGTCCTAAGATAAATGATCTACTATGTTTGATGCAAAATATACCGAACTTTGACTCGGGCTCACACCCTATCATTCTATCAAAAATCAATTGCTAATGATCCCTGACTTTGCGACTCCCCCGTCCAATAGCTCTCGACCTCAGGCTTACTTTTAATCTCTGTAGAAAAGTTACAGGTAGATCAAACAACACTCCACGAATGCTTTGACCCCTTCAAAGTGTGCTCGCTTCACCCCTTTTCTTCTAGATTTGAATTTAACGTAGAATGAATGAATTCTACTTTTCAGAATTTCTGAATCTTCAAATATGCTTCAATTCCGATGAGATAGAGAACAACACTCCTAAATTACTCTTGTGTTTATGTATGTGCTCTAAAAAATAAAATCAGAAAAATCAGATTGATTTTCTAAATAAAAATATCTCTAAAAAATGGCTTTCTAATAGATTTGAATTTTGTATGCAAAAGCCATGTATAAACTTAGATGACTATCATGGTTTATATAGAGTTTAGAATGTCTTAATCCCTCTAAAAATATAGAAAATTTCGTTTATAGGACTTGGAGGGAAGTTTGGTTCAAAAAGGAAACATTCAGGAAAAAGGAAATTGAAAGTTCTGATGTTCAGCCCCCTTAAACTGGTTCAAGATGGCCAGTCTTGAATTTTGTTGAAGTTGAACCAGTTTAGCCCCATTGAACCAGTTAAAGATGGACAGAATGTAAATTCTTCCTTAAAAACTTCCAAAACCCTTTCTAATGTTCTCACTACCTCTCAAAACTTCCTAAAACATTGTTCTCATTATCTTGGAGTGTAGTATACCATAAACACTTAAACTTTTTCAAATCCGCATCTGATCTTCAATCTTTGAAATTTTGAATTGAACAATTATAATTCAATCGGACTTATTTTGACAACGAAATTACCCAATATACAATATATATATTTTTCATAATCTCCCCAAAATATACATTTCATAATATATATAGAGAGTTACACAAATATGTAATGTCTAAAGTAATATAATGATAGAAACAATGATTGTAATAATATACCCCATAAATATTATTTAAATCATATAATAATAATCATCGTTATAAATATAATTAATAATTATATTAAATACTATTCATATTTTTATTGAAATATCTACAACACTTTGAAGGTAGATTATAGATGGTTGAAACGATAAAGTACTCCATTCTTCATTTTATTTATACTTGACCAAATCCCGATATCATTAAATACTTTTATTTCCTTTTCTTTTCCTTCTTTTTCTTTCATTTTTTTTTTAATTTTTTTAATTTTATTTTTTTATAGTATATCACATTCATCTTACCATCCTTTCGTTCCACTCTCTGTGTTAGAGCATCATTCTTATCAACTTTGATGTATTTATCACCAAATTATTGATTTAAGTGGTATAACCTCTCCTTTCCAAAGAGGATGTGAGGATTTCAAGCCCCATGCCAATGCGACATATTTAACCTAGTCTTTGAAGTGTTGTCCCATGCAAGTATTTTAGATGTTGCAATTGATCAACAAGGTCAACATAACAGAATATGCAAGTTTAATGCCTACCAATACTAATGTTGTAGGCAAACTCCACCAAAGGCAAGTAGTCCTCCCAACTACCCCCGAAATCCAAGATGGAAGCCCATAACATATCTTCCAATATCTGAACAGTACGTTCTGACTGACCATCACTCTGAGTATGGAATGTCGTGCTGAAATGAAGCCCCGTATCAAGAGCCTCCTGAAAGCCCTGTCAAAAGTGATATGTGAACCTGGGATCCCTATCCGAAACAATGGATACCGGAACCCCATGAAGCCTGACGATCTGTCTCACATACAGTCAACTCAATCTCTCTACGCTGTTTGTCACTGCCATAGGTAAGAATTTAAAAGGCATGTAATCAATATATATTAAGCTCCAATATATATAAAACCCAAAGAGGATAAACATACACTCCTACCTCAATAGAGAATTGAATCTCTATAATCCAAGGCAACCAAGCTAAAAATGGAAAACTAAACTACGGTTTTGTAGAGGATAATGAGAGGAAACTTTTACTTGCCAAGGTTAAAGGTCTAAAGTGAGTGGAAGGAGACCAAAATGACAAGCTCCGAGAACCCCATTCATCGAATCTAAAGGCTTACTAGCTTGTGAATGACTGGCTTGTGGATGGAGCTATGGGCAGCGAGACTGATATGCCCCGGCTGCTGACAGTGGTGACAAATCACTCCTTAGGCTGACCCCAAAGATACTGGAACTGTAGGTGTAGACCGAGCCTGCTATGACTGCCCCTGAGCACGTGAGTTGTCCCAGACCTCAGCATTTTCCCACTGACCCCCAACAGATACTGATGAAGCCCCTCCATGAGACTGCTTATATGAACCCCTGATCTTGTGCTGATTTCAATCCTCTGCCTCAACAATCATAACCCTCTGGATAACCTCTCCATAGGTCCTCAAATCAATCAATGAGACCCATAGCCTAATATTAAGATGCAACCCATCCTGAAACTTTTTTGCCCTGAGCTCATCGGTTGTTACCATCTCCGGTGCATAGCGGGAAAGAGAGGTAAAGCGTGTCTCATACTCAATGACACTCATCATGCGCTAAGA